CAGCGCTGGAGGGGCCGGGGGCAGCACGGAACGGGCCGGGGACAGCACGGAACGGGCCGGGGRCAGCGCTGGACACACGGACCGCGGTGCTGCAGCGGCCGGGGAGGCTGCAGGATCACCGGGGGCTCCTCATCCTCTTCGGGACGCTGCTCCACTCTCCTCCGCGGCTTCCCGCACGAATCGGGCTCCGGGCACGGCGGGCACGGCCGGTGCTGCTCCAGCGGCCGGCGGCGGATCTTGACGGGCGGGGGGCACACGGGGGGCACCGGGCTCACCTCCACTCGCCGCCGCGGTTTGCAGCTCTGCGGGGGCGGGCAGGGWGGGCGCTGCTCACAGGGGTGGCAGCCCTGGGGTGGGCTCTGGCAGGACCCCTCGATGTCGTGGCTGAGGCTGCCGGGGTTGGGGCAGGTGGCGGGGGGATCGTGGCAGTGCCCGCTGGGGTTGGGCCATGTCCCGCACTTCTGGCCGCAGCCCGAGGGGTGCTGGCACAGGTCGTGGTCGGCGCCGCCTTTTTGGTAGAGCATCCTGGGGTAGAGATGACAGAGTCGGGGAGTTTTTAGGGGTTGGAAAAAAATTCCGGGGTCATCGAGTCCAATCTGGGATGGACCAACATCGTTTCACCCTGCCCAGAGTCCTCAGTGCCACCTCCAGGAATTCCTCGGACGCCTCCAGGGATGGGGACTCCAAACCTCCCTGGGCAGCCCGGCCAAGGCCTGACCACCCTGTCCATGCAGAAATTCCTCCTGGTGTCCACCCTGCCCGTCGCCTGGCCCAGCCTGAGGCTGTTCCCTCTCCTCCAGTCCCTGTTCTCTGGGATCACAGCCCGACCGTTCCCCAGTGCCCCCTCCTGTCAGGGAGTTGTGCAGAGCCCCCACAAATCCCCCCTGATCCCCCTTTTCTCCAGGCTGAGCCCCCCAATTCCCTTGAGAGCTGCTCCTCCCATGACTCACAAATCCTTTAARGGTGACCAAACCCTCGGACATAAACACCCCGGGGAAAAAAAGAAAGAAAACAAACCACCGACGCCTTTTCTTTTGCTATTTCCATGAAAAAAACCCGAGGAATCAGGGCTGAAAGAACCCAACTCACCCTGCGAGCTGAGACGGACGGGCTGAGCAGGGAATCGGGAGTCCTGAACACGGCGAGCCGGGGCTGAAAGCTTTTATCCGGCGCCGAGCTCTCCCGGGAATGAGACACGTCCTGGGAATGAATAGTTGAGCACTGAGGCCGCTGCCGTGTGTGTGTGAATGTGTAGATGTGTATATTCAGTTCCTGGCCCTCGCTGCCGGATTAATCAGCCCCAATTAGCGCCTGCCCCGTGTCGGCTCGGCTCTGCCGAGGCTGCAGCGCCCATTATCCCATTAATTCTCCCACTGGTCATGCTCAAATGCGCTCCCGGGATGCTGGCWCACGGATAGCTGGGATGCCGCGGTGCTGAGTGATGTGCCCGAGAGGTGGGAAAA